ACTTACTTACTTACTTACTTACTTACTTACTTACTTACTTACTTACTTACTTACTTACTTACTTACTTATCGATTGAAAGCAGAAATTGGCATTCAACACGTAAAGTGAAATATCGTCTACCTGTTATGATTGATAGGACTTCTTTTTAAATAATTGTACTAAAACAGGTTGTGCAAATGCAACTGTAAAAAATCGATAAGACTTGGTTAACGAGTAGTAAATGTAGTATAGATGGTGTGAGTTTCCGCAATTCTAAACACTTAATGAACATGAAAATGTGTTCATAGGCCTGAGTATATTAAACAATGAATGACTTCTTCAAGGCCAGAATTCCTGGCACATTGCGCCTCTATTTACTCCTGTTGCTTAAACGAGCCATCTAAGCAATACAGTGGTTGGTTGTTTTGTGAAATAGCACATGACTAGTACTAGTTTCTGAAACATCGTTTGTGATGAGTGTGAGGTGGCTGTAGCGGACGAGGTGATTCGTGATTAATCTAGCACTGTAGGGGGTTCAAATATCATGGCCTGCTTAAATGACCTCTGGCCGAGGGGGGGTGTAATATGCTGTGAAATCTAGTCTTGCAGGAGTAATTCGCTATTTGACCTACATCGGCGTATAAATATCTTATGAACCTTATGCTGTACTCAAAGCTAAGGATGTAGCACTTCTTCCATGGGCAGGACACATGTCTCATGCGAAAACTTCAAGCAAGCGAACAAGGACTTAAGCGGAAATGCTGATGAAAAAATAACCAAACTGGAGCTGTGATCAGGGTTGAAGAGAAACAGATGTCCAGAAATGAAAAGATGTCACACTGCAATACAATTAATATCCTGCTTCAGGTTTTTCCTCATCATCATTACCATAATCTTTGCTGTTTCTTACGTGTGCCCTCCGCTCATTTCTACCTTAAGAATTTTAACATTAGAAAATCAATATTAAACAAATCATTTGGTTAAAAACAGACTACGTGTGATCAGATGTATCGCAGAAGGGTGAAATAACGGCTAAAGTTCGAGCCAATAAAATTACTGGAAAGGTATTTAAATTTTGTTCAGCAAGTTGACATGTGGCATTACCAGAGGGCTGAAACTTCGCCGAAGGAAGAAAACGCATATAAACGATATCTTACTCGATAAGGCCAGCAGTTCTAGAAATTCATATCCTTTCAAACCAACCGTCCCATCAGTGATGCTGTATGACAACGAAATAAGACCACTAATGAAAGAACGGGGTAGCAGCTGTCAGTTGCTTGGATGGCTATGGAACGTACGTTTAGGACTTTGCCCAACGACTGCATCTCAAAGGCAGAAATTAAACAGCAATAGGGAGTCAGTGGTTTCATCGTGAAATGCCGGGCGAGCAAAATGCGCCGGTTTCGGAAAGAAGCTCTGTTTACTACCCCAGCATCGGTTAGCTGACCTCCTCTATGGGTGCCACAAGAAAGCTAAAGACCGCTGCATATCAGCCTAAGAAAATGGGGTGATCTTTTCTTTAAATTACAAAGACCAACGTAGTAAGGGAAAGGTGAATGGTCGAAGTGCTGTGACGGGGCAATTCATTCGATTGCTGAATTGCAGTCGAACAGGAAGGGTAAGATTCGTCATTGACATCCGGTCAACGAATAGTTTCCTCCATTATGTGATATTTAATCCAGACCGTTTATCGTCATTACTTCGATTTCAATATAAACACCTGATGAGCAGGTGAGGAACGGTATGTTAGTGCAGATAAACGAATCATGCCAGTCTTCCGTTTCTGATTGCTTCAGGTATGTCAATGAGAGCAATTAATACAACAGTGTGGTCGTATAAACTGAACTTATAAATAAATCACTGGACCCTAAAATTTACTGACAATTATGATAACCACAGTGTATATGAGGCTAACGAAATATAGTTAGACTCAAACAGGATATCTGTGCGAATTTACGGATCACTGTATGTATATGTATAGAAAACAGACGGTCAAGATTATGCTAAACTGATGTCTGGCCGTAAGTTAATTTCTGCTCGTGTCAGTCGCCGCGATAAACCGTGTTCGTTATTGTAGGTGATAAAAATCCTTGTACCTCATTTGGTGCTGCTGACGCTCCTCTTGTCCTACATCGCGTTCGGATCGTTCGTGTTGCAACGAATCGAAAACGGCGCGAACATTCTGTTCAAATTGAATCGGCGGTATGCGGTCGAACGAGCGTTCCAGCAGATCGTGAACGACAGCTGGGAGATGCGCCTCAAAAAGCTGACCTTCCTCGAATGGCAGGAGGAGCTGTACGAACGATTGCACAACGTCTCCATGATCTACGAGGGCGAGAAAGTCGGCGGCAGCGACTACCACGCAGACATCAAGCCCGACTGGACATTTCCAACCGCCGTCCTCTACACGTTGACGGTCCTTACTGCTTGTGGTAATGATTTTTTTGTTTTTTTTTGTGTTATACGACTGTCCAGTCGCTTTCTAGGCTGTTCACATTCGGCTTAAATAGTACACAGTTCTTTCCTCAATAAGGTCGGAAAATCAGTGATTTTTGGCAGCTTGATCCGCAAAGCAGCGCGTGAACAAACCAACTGTGCAGGCACTCTATGTTTTGTCTGTGAGGGTGAAATTTTTCATCAGCTGGGGGGTTCATTTCACTGAAAGCACGTTCCGGGACCCCCCCCCTCCACTCT